GGTGGCTACTTCTTTGAAGTAAGAATTCTCCCCTCCCCTTGAACGACATTCTTGACCACCCCCTATGTTTTCTCTCTCCTTCTGGACCCCTTCTTTATTAAGTGTAGGGGTCCGCAGTGTCAGCTTATGTGACTTGTTTACTTAAAAGAAATGGTTTTTACCCTATGTATATATGATTCAGAAGACACAATTTGGTTCATCGAAAATACAGCTTTGACTTTTTTTTTTTTTTGCACTAAATGAGACTTGCGTGTACTTAATTCCTCACCAAAAAGTATGAATTGAGAGTTGTCATCCGTCGTTCATGCTCACTTTTGGCGCGGTAGACGAAGGAATTTGCCATCCTGGTACATCGAATTTTTCCCACGTTACTAGCCCTCACGGCAACAATACCCGTGAACGTGCCCGGATAAAACTTGCATAGTTCTGATTTCACACTGACAAAAAGGAAGAACATTTCCAGGTTTACTTCGATCGATTCTTTATCTTGATGGAGTCCGATAGTTCCGTTGAGTTTTGGGGGGCCATACGCGTACGATTAGCGCTGATCGTATGGCCCCCAAAATATAACAACACGCAATAACATATGTATTAAGGCGTTTCTTATAACGTCCGTTTACAGAATAGTCAAGTTATTATTCAGACTTTTATCGGAAGTTTTATTTACGCAGAAAACGTGTTTTGTCAGTTGTATTCATTCCCTGAAGAAGTCTCAGTAGGAGACGAAACGTGTCGGAGATAAACGAAAAAGCGTACAACTACAATAAGTCTTCTTTAGTGCTGCTAACTAGTCTTGGCTAAAAAATTTTTTTTGCTGTTTATTTTATCTTTCTGTTAAATTTGGTGATTTATATTTACCCGCGACACTTACCCGCACCCGCGACCTCTACCCGCGAGTCGCGGCCCGCGACATTTAGACATACTCTAATTTTTAATTAAGTGTGAGTTAACCAAAGGTCGCGGGTCGCGGGTCCAAAGTCGCGGTCGCGGGTCCAATGTCGCGGCAGGGGAAAATAATTTGGAGTTCGAGGTACTTGAGTGAAAACGAGTGATATGAAAAAAATATAACGGGCAAACAATCGTTTTTATGCATGATACTCTACGGTGGCCAATTTACAGGTTACGGATGCTAGAGTCAACAAAATAAAGTCTCAAGAAAAGGCCTAAAAGAAAAAGCTGGCCGACTTTTGTGTTCACCGCAAGTTCATTTTGTTTTCTTTCTATCGGGCCCAGTTATGTATAAATTCAGCTTTGAATGTACTTATGCATAACAGTATCTGATAAAAATGTTACCATGAGTTACCATTGTTTAGTCTTCTTGTCTATGAATTGCTCACAAATTCTTAGGGGTGCATTCACTCAAAAATGTGCGATACACTTCATAGACTATAAATTATAAACGTTACAACAACTTAAAACCTTTTTTAAAAAAGGCTAACTAGGGCTCGAAAAGCTACTAGTCTGTCGGTAGAAGAAACGAGAACTGTTTCAATTTTAACAAATGTTTTCGGCAAAAAAAAAAAAGAAAACGCTTTTTGAAAAACTTCCTGGTCGCAAACTCCCAAAATAAACTCTTTGCACAAGTAACTGGAAAGAGGAGGAGAGACGTTGGGCTTGAAGTGCCAGTAAAGTACATTCAAGTGGGTATTCAAGGCATGAATTTAATACAGAAACAAGTAATAATCCACAGAAAGAGGGGATAAAGCTCGAGCTTTATCCTCTCTTGTCCACATATAGGAGTTTGTTCCCACTAACGATTGAAATCCGGAATCCAAGTTCTACCAAGAGAGAATAGATCACAGGGCGCGATCCATTCAACCAAAATTTCCGGAAATTTCGGTCCAAAACTTAATGGATCAGTTCGGTCCAACCGGAAAATTTTCGAAAAAACGGGTCCACCTTTTGAGGTGGACCACTTTTCCCGGTCGGACCGGTTGGAATTTTGGTTGAATGGATCGCGCCCATAGTCTCTTGGTTCTACTGACAAAGACTTGAATCCAGTAACTGGAAACTGGAATTACTTACCTAATTTATTGTCTTTTCTTAGCTCTGGTGGAGTTGATAACTTACCGTTTTCAGTGTCTGGTTTACTTTCTTTTTCAGCTTCATGATATCGGGCGTTATTATTTCCTTACCTACTTACTCACTTAGTTATTCATGATGCATGTTTTCAAGATTTGACTGAGACGAACTTTGAGTGGCTTCCTATTGTCAGGTTGTCCTGGTTGTCATTCAGGTGAAGAGAACAAGAACTTGTTATATTGAACACCCTGGGTTGCCGTCTCAGTTGTAAAAATAAAAGCATAAAGCGAAAATCTTGCTTCCAAGAACAGACTCCTTTCAGTCCTTTCTGTGGATTATTACTTGTTCCATATTAAATTCATGCCTTGAATACCGTTTGAATGAAGTTTCAGTGAATGCACCCCAGTTTCAGTGAATGCACCCCTAAGAATTTGTGAACAATTCATCGACAAGAAGAAAGCAATGGTAACTTATGGTAACTTTTTTTATCAGATACTGTTATGCATAAGTATATTCAAAGCCGAATTTACACATAACTGGGCCCGATAGAACGAAAAACAAAATAAACTTGCGGTGAACACAAAAGTCGGCCAGCTTTTTCTTTTCGGTCTTTTCTTAAGACATTATTTTGTTGACTCTGACATCCGTAACCTGTAAATTGGCTACCGTAGAGTATCGTGCATAAAAAAGATTTTTTCCCTTTATATTGTGTTCATATTAGTCGTTTTCACTCAGCTGTTACCTCGAACCCCAAATCATTTTCCCCTACCGCGACATTGGAACCGCGACCGCGACAATGGACCCGCGACCGCGACATTGGACCCGCGACCGCGACTTTGGACCCGCGACCGCGACTTTGGACCCGCGACCCGCGACTATTAGTCAAACTCCGTACCCTACGAGCAAAGCTTAATTTCCTTTCCGTACGCTAGTTCATACCAAGAAAAAGTACTCCTGCATCGCTCTATAGGTCGTTACAGTCAAGCCAGGTCAAGCGTACCCCCCAAAATTCCATTAATGAATTTATTATTCGGAAATTGAGTCCGTTGGCAGTTGTAGATTTCAGATTCATCTCATTCTTGCATGCGTAATGAGCTGTGAATTCACAGGCGATTCAGTTACGAAATTTCTACCAGCTCAGTTTCCCTGAATTTGATGTAAATGTCTTCTAAGAATTTAAATTCATTCAAAGATTTTCAATCTGACCAAATTGAATTTGACACCAGTTAAGGGAACAACTAACGGATTCATTTTTCAAATAATCAATTCATTAGAGCGGTTTTCACTTGACTGTCGAAAGTAATTGAGGAATTGGTTTGGTTTTGGTTTACTACGCCCTTTGGTTGGCTATTGTATTTACTTTGGTTTTGGTTTTACGACAGTCAAGTGAAAACCGCTCTTATAGAATCTTGCGGGGTACGCTTGAACTGTTTTGACTGTAAGGCAAGTCTGCACAACACAGGTCTAATAACCCATAATGCATCGGTCAAATCGAAGCTTCAACATGCCCCCCGGCATACCCCGGGCATTTGACACCTTTGCCGTCCCGGGGAGGAGGGAATTTGATAATCAGAGTCTTCCAGGGGGTGGGGAATTTGATCCCCTTGCTTTAGGGGTGGGGAATTTGAACTGAACCCTCGATTTCATGTAAAATCTTTGGCGTGGCGAGCTGTCATGGGGGACGCGGCGGTGTTGAGGATTTTCGTGGAAAAGATCGTGCCTTTGTGGCCAATTGGTTTCGAGGAAAGGGCTTAAACAAGCTTTGTGCTGTATTTGAAGTATTTAAATTTTTAAATATTTAACACTGGATTCAGGCTTTGAATGTATGAATGTATTTTATTGTTGTGTTTTATACAATGAAATACAATACCTATACCGGCGATTCAATACAACAACATAAAATAAAATAAAATAAAAAGCTCAGGTCAACTACTTTGACCTACTGCAAGTATGTTAGTTAATAAGGTGAGCGATGCATATCAGTGAAATGGTCATGATGTAGTAATCTCAATAGATGGGGTCTTTTTTTTATAGAACGCTTTGAGCATTCAGTGACCTTGTAGCAGCGATTTCCGCCGCTTTCCACGAGACTTTTGTTCTTAGTAAATACGCTAACAGTGTTTCTCAGTTTTGTTATATTTATAAAGATTTTGTTCGACAACTGAAGGCTTTTCCGCCGTCCCTCTGTCAGTTTTGTGCCTGTGAAACGTCCCCGGGATGGGAGCATTATTTGATCACCTGAATGGACCATAGGGTGGGGCATTTGAACGGCATTTTGGCCCGGGTAGGGGGGAATTTGAACAATAATTTTCAAAAAAGTCAAATGCCCGGGGGGTTGCCCGGGAGGGGGGCATGTTGAAGCTTCGATTTGACCGATACATAAGACCTTTTGGAATGCACGATTATGCCCTGTTCTGCATCCTTTTCGTAAATTCCCTTTTCTATGTTTATATCTTTAGCAACTCATTTTATAATAGGCGAAATATGTTTTACAGGCAAGGTTTCATAAACCTATTACAATATACCGTGTCCATGCTATTAAGCTGGCTGCTGTTGCAGAATTGAAAAACAGTAATGTTTCTAGCTCTCACAGAACCGTCTTCCGGCAGCCACGTCGTCCTCAGAGTCTTCTTTCCTGCCGCTGCAACGTTGGAAAACAGGACGAGAAGACCTTGGTGACGAGGTTGAGCCGTTTTGCTACCTTTTCTTTTTGCAACTTTAACTTACGATAAAGGAATTATAGTATAGAGCACCCCATCTAGTCTTTTAGTTGTATCTCTCTTTAAGTGTTTGTCGCCAAAACTATAACGTTGATGCCAAAAATGTCGAACATAATTTGTGTTGATTGTTGAAATCGTTAGAAAAGAGCAACAAAAAGCAAGTTGTGAGAATACAGTAAATTCTTCCACTGAATTAACCAAAAGTGCCGCCGAGTTTACAACTTATCTCTGACTTCATGATGAATCATGGAAATATATTTATCCTGTGGCCTGAAATAAAAACACTTCCAATTCATTGGCCATAAAATTTTTTTGGCCAACCAGGAATGAAGCATTTCCATGCGGTGGATATTCATAGCTGTTGCCTAAAGTGCTGTAGCTATTTGAATTTGCATTTGCTCCATTGGCAATGTGCAGGTCATGGTTTCCTCCAAATGTTGGCCCATATCCACTGTTGCAGTAAATCCCGTTCTGGTTGTTAGTACCCTTGAGTGGCATCTTTGTTGGCTCAGAACCAGACGGGTTCACGAGGCTAAATAAAAATGACTCTGTGCACTGTTTGTAGCTACTGACACCTATGGAATTAAAATAAAATAAAATAAAAATATTTTCGGGAAGCACAGCCTACGATATCTTAGCTTTACTCAGTGAAAGCATAAAAACATTCGACGTACGCCCTTAAATATCACAAGGAACGAAAGTAAATATGAGGAAACAGTATTTTAATAAGTTAAAACTTGTTATCTGAAAAAATAAAAGGTATATTTTCTGACAATTGGTTTATTTTTTATTCATTTTTTTTATGGTAAAAAATAGATTTATTATTCGTGTTATCATTATGAATTATTGTTAATAATAACATAATTGTTAATTTTCCTTTTTGACTTTCAGTAACAATGGCCTCTCTTTATTTGAGATCAGGGTTAAAGACACCAGAGCTGGTTTTATAGCCAGTATTGACAAACTGTCCTAACAGCTTTCCAGTAAAGTTACTTTCGGATTTAGCAGCCTTCTCCTGTCGCTACTTTCGGAGAGTCCCTTCTTTCGGGGGGTCTTTCAGGTGGCTAAAAGCGTACTCGCTTTGCGAGTTGCTTCGCAGGCATTCAACGATGAAAAACCATAAAGTAGAGTTTTCTCGTAGAAAAGTGAAAAGCATCTCGGTAATTGGATTGGACTAGTTTCACATCATTTGGATCCGGATTACTTCATATCTTACCCTCATTGCAACTTTTACAAAACGTTTCTACATAACATACTTCGGCTCTTTGTAATGCATATAATATTATGTTCTTTAAGTGTTAAGTTTTGTCCTTTGAATAGGAGTGTCAAAAATTAAACCTCAATCAGTTTGACTTAGCTCATTCAGGATATCTATCACATCCGTCGCTGCTTTCGGAGGATCGTTATTTTCGGGGGTCGCTACTTTCGGGACTTTCTTGCTTTGGTCGGGTGGGTAGAAAACGAACACCTAAGACCTAAGGCCCAAAACCGAAGACCCCCCTCAAAATTACTTATAAATAGCTGGAAACGGGTATCTCGACCTTAGATGTGTAAGAATTCTTACACATCTAAGGTCGAGATACCCGTTTCCAGCTATTTATAAGATCATCAATTATCAATGAAATAGTTTTCTACATCTAGTGTCTAGAAGTCGTTATTAGCAGTTTTGAGCCGTTTCCAAGTGATTTTGAGGGGGGTCTTCGTTTTCTACATTGGGGGGTATGTAGAAAACGAAGACCCTGGTCAATTTCATTGATAACTGAAGATCTTGTTGTTTCTGACACACCTAAGGTCGAGATACCCGTTTCTAGCTATTTATAAGTGATTTTGAGGGGGGTCTTCGTTTTTGGGTCTTAGGTTTTCGTTTTCTACCCACCCTGCTTTGGTCATATTTAATTATCGGGTTGTTTTTTTTCAGAGCCCGTTTTAGGAAGCGATAAGTGCTTTTTGCGATGAATTTCCACGGCAAAAGTACTTTTAAGACGAAATGGAAGCGACTTGGATCATTATTAGCTTTAATATGAGCGAAAATCGAGGTAACAAAACATCGGCTTTGTTGGGTATCTGTTCTTTAAATGCGATGAAATGCGTTTAAGTTCGGTTTTTTACCGTAAAAACACCAGTCCAGTTATTTTCGTGACAATAGCTTTGAATTCGTTATTAATAGGGCTTGATCAACTTAAACAGGGTGTGCTGGCGGAAGTTTTAGGGGAAAGGCTTTAAGTAAAATTTTAACATCTCCTTCATGGTATTTTCTCACGTGGCGTAGTGGTAACAATATGGCCAGTTCTGCCATTCACAAGTCCGCTACAGAATATAGACCCAGTCCGGAACACACACATTTCACTGCTGACTATTTTTAAATCCTCAGTCAAAGGTCACTTACAATATCAACATAAATTGTACAAGCTTCGCCATACTCAGTTTTATTTCCCGTATGACTGGTGCATAGGACTCAGACGCCCTTGCTAAAATATCCAACAACGCTCTCGTGTTTACCTTGTGACATTGACCACTTATTAACTATACCGCTATTTCTCATGATGTATACTAAATCTTGTTGACAATTCACCAGCAGAAATAACCAAAGGATATGAGAACAACTCTTGTAGATAAAATAAAAAAATATGGCCCGGCCCGTGGGAGGTCTTGAGTTCGATTCCGGGCGGAGAAGCCTTATTTTTCTTTTACTCTTCTTTTCGTTCGGTATTTTTTTAGTTATTGTCGTTTTGTTTTGTTTCTTTAGATAGCGTAAGTTTTTTTTACATTTTTAGATTCTCTTTCCTATTTCCTTATTTTCCCTTTCTTCCCACTTCTTGCCGTTCCCCCGAAGTGCTCCGAGAGGTCCTGCGATTCACGTATTTCTAGCCTTCTTCTGACGTTGACTCAAATATCCCGGCCTATTGTCGAAAACTATCTAGCATTGACAAATTTGGCAGACGTTTGCGAATACTGATTCGGTAAATTTACGTCAATAGTGCAAGCTTTCGCCAGGAAAAGGGATGAGAAGCCCTGGGGACTGGGTTGCGTTTCGTGGTGAAGAAAAATGGCGGAAGATATCCACTTTTTGAGAAGACCAACAAGGCGAACATAATTAACAAGAACAGCAAAAATACAACTCAACGGATGACAACTGCTATCTGGTAGACTCAACATCCCTTTATGTCCTGAATTTGCCGAGGAAAAAACAAATGAAGACGGAGGTAAGTCATCAGTAAAGTATAAGAGACCAGTCATTATTTATCGCCTGGGGGCGGGGGGAATCGGAGGATTGGGGGAGATCACTTGTTTTTTAGGAGAACAGAAAGGGGGATCATTCGTAATAGGGAACCTAAAAGGAAGGATCACTGAAAAAATTTTACTGTGAAATAACGTCATCGCCTCTCCAGGAATGGGGCACCCTTTTTCAGCTCTAAACCAAATCCCATTCAACAGCCTCGTCTGTCTCATCTTGGGTCTCATCATCCAATATTTTTTCATTTGTGTCTTGAGCCTCATCATCCGATTTATTTAGCCCAGCCTTACGCGCGGCAGGTTGACCGTATACTTTAAAATCTTAAAAAGGCTGCTACAGTTTTAGGATTTTAAAATCATGGGTGGATTTTGGGGTCGGCCCAGTGGTCCGCGGCCACCCTTTTTCCATGAAATTTCTGTAATACTCCCTTCTTCTTTGAGCCAAAAATAAAAACAGAAAATATACACGTCGAAAGGTGAACATGGGTGCGAAACTTTGGGGGGATCACGAAAGTTATAAAGAGTTATGAGGGAAGATCACTTCAGTAAAATAACATTGAAAGGGGGGGATCAGCCATATTTTACCGTGTTAAGCCCAAAATTCCTCCCCAGGCGATAAATAATGACTGGTCCCTAGATTAACTTATGAATGAATAATAAAGCAATTATGGGATCCGGCTTTCGAATAATCTGTAGAATTATGCAGATCTCGGAGAGTGTTATCCGCCATGGCAGTCCTAGAAATTGCATGCATAATCTTAACTACTGTAGCGAAAACCCTAACCCTAAAAAGAAGCTAACCGTTAACCCTAATCACTATTCTAAGTGCTTAACCCTAATCAGTATTGTTAGTGCTTAACCCTAATCACTATAGTCAGGGCTCACTCACATATGTATATAAATATATGCAATTACTTTGTGTAGGCATCACAAGGTATCCAAGGGCGGTTTGAGATACGGAAACTGGCGTTTACCTCCGATAACAGGCCATTTCCGAGTTGTTCCAAGCCTCTGTTTTAAAACGAGGTTAAGTGCGAAGCTATTGATATGAAAATATTGTTTATTTTCATGCAAATGAAGCTCATTTTCACATGAAAGCTTTTGCAGTTAGCCTCGCCTCTGAAATGGCCTAAATGATTGTTAGTCTGTTTATATCTTTAAACAACCTAGAAATACGTGTATCGCAGAACCTCGCGAAGCTCGGGGGGGGGGGGACATAAAATGTCAGGGATGGAAGGGGGAGAGAATTGGAGTAAATGTACATGTGTAATATAGTAAAGGAAAATGGGTGTGAGAGTAAATACCTGCAAGAAAATATGAGGCAAACACATGCTATCTTTGATGTGAAGTATATATGATGTGTATATTTGTCCTATTTGACCTCTGTTTTTTCCTTTTTCCCCGACTACGGAGCCTGGTCCCAGGCTATGTCATTAAGGATGCAGTCTTGGAGAACTTACTTACATACACACGAATTGATTCAACATAATTCACAAAGGAACCACTGAAAAACGATTTGATTGAGGAGTCAATTGAAATACGAGTGAAGCAGAATTAAACAGTATATGCGCAAAGTTAGATCTTAACAGAATCTGCTGTCTTTCCTTCTATGAGTACCTGCGTACGTTTCATCGCGCTTTCACATAAAGTCGTTTGTTTTAACCACGAAATCGCCGCAAATTTCTTTCCGTGGTAACGCAGCGAACTCAAACAGCCACGACGACAATAAAGGAAACGAGAAAACTAAAACTGCAACAGGGGACTCTAGACATAATCGACCACTTTTTGGCAAATGTCTTTGCCTTCATCGCACTACTACCTGAACGCTGTCAAACTTGGTTCTTGGAATACGAATTCGTTCGTCGCTTTTATAAGCTTTAAGATCGTCCGCTTTTTATCAGTCAATAGCGATTGTCGCGATTTCGATTTCGTCGGAACTACTCATGGAGATCGATCTAAGTAATTAATGCTTACCATCCCACGACTGCTCTGTGTAGCCTCCAAAAATGTAATTTCCACTCCTCACCACGGTAACAGTTGGTCCTTTATAGTCGCAAAGAGCATGGAACCTGGAAGAATGCCACCCATCTCTTGAGGCTCGATAAATCAGCACAAAGGTGGAATGACGGAGTTCCAATTTTTCTTTGAGACAACTGTGGGCCAAGAATTGTTTCTGTTCGTCTGACAAGATGTTTGATCCCTGAAACGGCGTAGGACAAAGCTCATCAACAATTCCACGTATCTGATAGAACTGAGCTTCCTCTAGTAATTCTTTGCGGACTAGTTTGTCATCTGGGGCAAGAAGATACCCTGTTCGAAGATAGTTCAAGATATACCGGAAGTGAGTTCCATCACGATCAATGAAGTAAGATCCGTCTTCAGCGGGCTTTGAATCAAATCGGCCTGAAAACATGGCGTGTAGCATTGATCCTTTATCCTTTGTAATTGTTTGAAGACTCGTGGTGAAACGCTGACCACCTACGTTCAGTGTGATGGTAGAGGCAAAGTGAACATGTTCAAGCTTCTTCGCCACAGATTCTAAGGCCTCTTTTTCCTTGCGGACGTCAATTGCTTGTTGGTTCATGACGTCGTAGGCCTTCTTCATAAAGTTAACAGCCTCCTCTAGCGCAGCGCAGCTAAGTGGTTCGACTTTTTCTTCGTCAACCGACATGTCGTGCAAGATTCGACTCTTCTTTCCGTTTCACCAAGTAAACAAGAGTGGAAGCCAAATGAACAGACCCACTGATCAGTCGAAGTGCAGGCTCAACCGCCGGTTTGCGTTCCGCGTTGGACTAGGGCCGGGAGCTTGAGCAACGATGACAGCGACGGCCACGAGAACAGCAAAGAAGCAATTGGTTTTTATAAATTTGCAAAACAGCAACTCTGCACGGGCATTAAAGATTTTTTGGTACATTTCTTTGCCATCGCTGCACGACTACGACGTGAAAATGACTAATTTCACGTTTTGTGGAGAACACAAGACAACGACTTTCTTTTTCTTTTCCTGAAATTCTATACAGTCCTTTAGAACTCAACTCCAGAAATAAATTGGCAGCGTTTGACGAAATGAACGATATAAAAATAAGCCCGATAAAGCTTGACGCAGCGTGATTTCGCTTTTTAGAGACGTTTTCGAAGCCGTAGCCCTCTTCATCGTTATTACTTTAAAAAGCTCCCTAGTGCGCACAAGAGAAAGCCTGAACAGGTGGAAAATGGTGGCGAAGTAAAGCCATCTTTTGCCGCTCATGAACTTTACCTCACCCCCAGTATAACCTCTGGGTACTTCTCGGCTTTACCAAAGGTGGCCTGAAGCGGTGATATATATGATTGAGGGAGTTTGTATGCGGACTGCGAGCAGTCTCTTATTTTTGTTTGTCACTTTAAATCAGTCGAGAGCAAGCGTGAGGGAAAAGCGGTAAAGCCGCAAGGAACGAGGGCGGAAGCGCAAGCAAACCAATCTCTCCTCCAATTCACCAGTTTTTCACTCGCCGCGCGTAGCTCTCAGGAAAGAAAGACGACCGCTCACTGTCTAGTTTGTATGGGAAATAAAACTCAAAGTAAATACCGATATAAAATAGACCCAGACACTAAGGAAGGTTGGCGATTCTGGCCTACCTTTCTCTCCATAACTACACCTGTTTGAGTCTATTCATTTGTTCATTTTTATCTCATTAGGTAATAGAAGAATAACAAAACTGTCTACTAACTAATTGTCAAATGCCTCATTCTTTAAAACACAAAATTACATTCCCGCAATTCCCCACCTCACCCCTCCAGCATTTTTACTAGAACGATCACGAGTTTCCGTTACTTCATTGTCAGATTTCAGTTTTGTTCCACTGTTTTGCCGTGTACCAATATCCTTCAAAGGGAATGTAGCTCAGCCGCTGACGGCCTACAGTACTACTTGGAATTTCATATATGATAATCAATCATACGGCACTGGAAAGAAAGACTAAGTACACTACTAAGCAAACTGCTCTCGTCATACTTTAAACCAGCCCGTTCACCTGATTTCGGAGCATTCTACGCTGTTTTTATTATAGCTTATCAGAGCTGCGAGAAAGTTGTCAGCTGAAGTACTCAAAAAATAACCCGTTACGCAAAAAAATTGCTGGACAGTATCATCGGCCTTAGTCATATCCAAGTTAATATATTCTATTAACATCGAAAGTTCAAAACAATTCATGTACTATTGTTTGTTCGGTTCTGTTATCCAACTAGATTATTTCTATTTCGGTACTGGCTTAATCACAAGTAAAAGCTTTTTTAGGAAACTATGGTATACGAAATCTTCACTGTTACTCCGCAAACAGAATTGTGGATTTTAATTTAGACAAATGTCCGTAAATTAGTTTAGTACAAACATATGTACAGAGACTTAACACTAGGTTGTTTGGACTGTAACTTCAAACGTATTAAACTTTACACGTAGTATAGTAATGGATAGTGACAACAAAGCCACAATGAGAATCTCTTTCCGAATATTTGAAACCTTAAAACGCACAGCAAAATCTGGTCTCAATTTCACACTTTAATCCATAAAAGAAAGTATACGATACTTCAGGGCTGATACATGAACACTTCTAGTTCATTGACAACAAAATCTGATAGACCAGTTAGGAATGAAGAATTTGCATCATCTGGACACTGATAAGTATGACCTAACTTGGTCGTGCTATCTGAGTTTGCGTTTGGCTCATTACTAATCAAAAGATCATGCCCTCCTCCAAATATTGGTCCAAATGACCCATTACATAAGATCCCATTGTGGTTTGAAGTACCCCTAAGCGGCACCTTGATTGGTCCAGTACCAGATGGGTTTACCAGGCTAAATAAAAATGAATCTCTACAGCACTTGTATTGACCAGTTCCTAGAATTAAAAAAGCTACTTTATCAGGCAGTATTCATAATTCATGGGGCGGGCGACGGGGGTGAGGCAAAGAGGATTTTTCATTTTGGGGGTCGTCCCACTGAAACTCGGAAACTACCCCAAAACAAACTACTTCAAGATTTTTAGGATCTTCGTAGCGGAAGCAGTTTACATGGTGCTAGGATCTTTCTACCTTTTCGCTGGTAAGATCCTAGCGTTAGGGAAAAGTACAACTTTTTGCTTGTAAACTGAATACAGAAAACATATGGCGGTAGAATGATCTGCCTTTTTTCTTCCCGTTGCTAGGATCTTCCTCCCTCCATGTAAACAGCCTTCAAGGCTACGTTCACACGGCAACCGGCGAATTTTTAATTTGATAGGCCACTTCCACGGAACCGTTCAAAATTTTCGCTGTGTTCACACGGAGCTTTGAATGTCTAGGCGTTTAATAAAGCTTTGCTTCGACCGCGTCCAGTGCCGCGTGAACGTAGCCTAAGACTGAATGTTTCGGATCAATCGTTCAATCATTAGGGAGCTCAAGCAACAAAGACTGCGAAGGATATGAAAACATCACTTAAAAAATGAATTCGGTCTGCTTCCAAATTTATCGCGGTTACTTCATCTCTTTGAATGCTGGGAAAGTTTTCTGGACTTCTTCAAAAAAACTGTATGGAGGTTGCGGAAAAGAAAAAGAAAGTCGGTGTTTTGTGTTTACATCCTCCACAAAGCGTGAAGTTAGGCACTTTCACTCAGTGTCGTGCGCATGCAAAGTGACGGCAAAGAAATGTACAAAAAAAGCGGGATGCACGTGCAAAGTTGTTATTTTACTTTCTAAAGAAATAGAACTCTTTAGCTGGTATGTTTCGTTTTCCCACAAGTACCTTGCAAGTACATCCACATGCATATGCATACATCATTAATTTATTAATGACTAAAGGCAAATTCGCTGGAGAAAATCACGTGGTCGAAGTCTGGAAAACAAAACACACAAACTGAAAAGGCCTATTGCTTTTTTTCCGTTCTCGTTGCCGTCGCTGTCGTCGTTGTTAAAGCTTCCTAATCATGTTTCCAAAGGTTTAAACCTTCATTGGATTTCCTTAATTCAATGCTTACCGTCCTCCCAGGACATCTCTGTGTATCCTCCAAAAATATTATTTCCATTCTTCACCACGGTAACCGTTGGTCCCTTATCATCGCAAAGAGCATGAAACTTGGAAGAATGCCACTCATCTCTTGAGGCTCGATAAATAAGGACAAAGTTGGATTCATCACTTATGCTGTGTTTACACTCAAGCGTTTACCAAAGTAAACATTAACTGACTAAACCCTGGTACATTTGTACAGTGTTTATACGGGCTCAAATAACTAAGGTAAGTCTGTCATCAATCACAATCTAATCGAATTGGCGGCAAATTCTAAATCCACGCATAAATGCTCGCGTTTAAAAGAGAAGCTGTGGCTCTTGTAGTCCTCGCGTTTTATTTTCTTGTTCTTGATCAGCAAACCCAGGAATCGAGTTTGCAGCAGCTCTTACTTTTGCAGCACCTAAAGAGGTGGAGGCGAAAGCGATTAATTCTGCTACAAATTGCCCTTCGCAAGACAAGGCGCGTTAGACGTGCGTGGTCGTGGCCGAGAAACCTTAACCGGAAATTTTGTTGAAGAATGGTGTGTCTTTTGTGTCTTTGGTTTTTGCCATAACTTCTTCGTAGACCGAAACCAAACGTGGAAACCTGGTCGAAAACCTAGTCTCGAAAACCTGGTCTCGAAAACGTGATCGAATGAGCCTGACGCAATCCCGACACCACAGGATTTGAAATTCTATGCGACCGCAAGCGGATGTATCTGTCATCCAAACCTTGGTTACCGACCTTAACCATGCCTTTTCGCAGGGCAAACCGAACTTTTACCTTAGTTAACTTTCTATTGTCTTGAGCGGTGTTTACCAGGGTATCAGTTGGCGTTTACACACGCAAAATATTTACCTAGGTAAGTTAACTCCAAAACCTCGGTAGCACGCTCAAGTCTAAACACGGCATTAGTTGCTCTTTCAAAAAATTGTTGATAAGGACTTGTTTATGCTCAGTTGACAGGACGGTAGAGTCCTTGAATGGCTGATTCGGTGGATGGCGAAGCTCTTCTAAGATGCCACGAATCTGATAGAATTCAGCTTCCTCTAATAACTCCTCGCGAATCAGTTCGTCTTTGGGGAAAAGAAGTCGTCCGGTTCGAAGGTAGTTTAAGATATACCGGAAGTGAGTTCCATCGCGATCAATAAAGTAAGTTCCGTCTTCAGCAGGCTTTGTGTCAAATCTGCCCGAGAACATGGCGTGTAGCATTGATCCTTTATCTTTTGTCAGTGTTTGAAGGCTGGTGGTGAAATACTGTCCGCCCACGTTCAGCTTGATGGTAGAAGCGAGGTGGACATGTTCAAGCTTTTTTGCCATGGATTTAAAACTTTCTTTTTCGTTGTGAAGCGGATCAGAAGCTTGTTCGTTCATGATTTCAAACGCCTCTTTATCAGTAATCAACAGCCTTTACTGAGAATACATTAGAAATAAGCACGCGTTTTCATGATAATGTATTTAGTATGCTAGTAGTGCTAGCGTTCACTTGCAATAATAAAAAAAATATTTACGCTTTCAGAAATATGCCCCCCGGGGGGGTACTTTAGGAATTTCTGGGTGGGGATGTGCCGCTGGGACCCTGGAACCCTTAACCTATACCAGAGCTAGTTCAGCTGAATTTTGCTACCCTATACTAGAGTAAAATCTCCAAATCCCCCTATCCTAGAGTAGCTGTTTCCCTTGTCTAGATAAAATCTTCAACCAACTGATCAGTTTCCTGAAAAATGATACCCTGTTCTAGACCCAAACGCTCTGATTTATATACCCTATCCTAGAGTAAACTGCCTGAAAACCATACCCTTCACAGCGGCACATACCTATATAGCCCATATATGGCAGTACCCCCCCCCCCCGGGATATGCCCGCGTTTTCACTGTAATATATTCCGTTTTCAAGTAGTGCGAGCGTTCACTTGCAATATTGGAAATACGGTCTGTGTAAAATGCAGACTGCGGACGTGTGTTTCAGGCACTATGCAAATCATGAAATGAGTACCATGAGTACGTGACAGCAATAGTCTATTGTTTTCTAAGCCTAAAAACAATAGTCCGCAGGCAGAAATATGCACGCGTACGTTTTTAATGTCATATAACCAATATGCTAATAGTGCTAGCGTACTAAATATATTACCAGCTAGTAGGTCAGCCCGCAAACCGAGTTAACTGGTGTCTATAGAGTGTTTTCACATGGCATGACGCCGGCCATATTGGTGTTCCAAAACAATGAACCGGCGGCCATGTTGGTGTTCCAAACCTGTCCTCAGGGCCACCCAACGAGAATATAGTTCAAAACCACTAAGCCCGAAAAAAGGCTCCCGAAAATTGTAGGTGACCTTTTTAGGGTAAAAATCCGTTAAAAATGGGCAATTATACCATTTTTAGATGTTCGAAAATCCTAGGAGAGGCTGGCAAGCAAAAAATTTGACAACAAATGTTCCGAAAATTATAGATCTCAAATCTTGTTTCGAACAGATATTTTCCGAAAATTGACGTTAGGTGCCCCTGAGTCCTGTGGGAGTTGAACTCTTTTCTTATGTAAAGGCCTTCTTTTGTTCCCATAAATTTGCATAGATTCTGACGTGAGTATGAAAACGCTCTACAGGCGAATCTTTGTTTTCATTTTTTGTCTCATTAGCGTTTGCTTTTCGTTCTCTGATCAAGCTACTAAAAGGAACTATCTGAATGTCGAAAGGGAATACAATTTCAGTTATCTGTGAAAATTTGAAGCCGATATACTCGGTTTACCTCGAAACTTTACAAAGAATGGGTGGGCTCTTGACATCTATTGACGCTCTTGAGGCTATTTACACAAATTGCTCAAATTAACCAACTCTTTCAACTTGTGAATTCAATTTGTGCATACGTTGACGTCTTCTATGGGTTAACTCGTATGCTAATGAGCAAAATTGTAAACAATTATGTAAACGTCTGCAAAGAATCGCCTTTAGGATAAAAAAATAGACCCTTTTGCCCGAGCCAACAACACTCGCGCATGCTCTGAATGTCTCCCCCTGACTGAGTTCTCCCGGCTGGGAGAGCCAATGTATTTTTAGAGCGTATTCACTCACGTGGCCAGCATCCATGAAAATTTAAGGAACGAAAGAAATTTCTTACACAAGAAAAGAGTCCAACTCCCACAGGGTTTCTTTGGAACACCATTATGGCCGCCGTTTCATTGTTTTGGAACACCAATATGGCCGCCGTGACGTCTGATTTGAATACGCTCCATATGGAGAATAGTTGGCCCCCGGCTTAGAGGCCGGGGGTGACTCTACCATTACAAAAAGGCCGGTGACCTGGCAAGACGGTCACTCTTCTTACCGAGCCAACTTTTCGTTACTCATGTAACTGACAGTTCGCCCAAAGGCAACCCAAACGCTGTATTCAAGCTATATCATAATCCGTTGTTATTTACCTGTGCTTCTGAGTCTTTACTAGTCGTTTCGGTTGGGAAATTTCAATCAGATCTAGGACGGTTTATCTTGCCGGTTTCAAATGTTTCGTGTCTGGCCCGTCGTGCACAGAAC